GAATATATATTACATAAAAAGTGCAGAAAGTTTATTCGAAAGTGTATTAGTTTTAGTAGCACAGTAATGGTAGCAATTGTAGTAACATCTGTACATAAGAAACAAATGTTACCTAAAATGATCTACATGTACATAATAATGCTGAAATGTCTTTATTTTGGTTTTGTACGTGTGAAGATGTCTTGCTGCATTTTTCATCTTTGAAATACAGCAGTGTCTTTCAATCCTGTGTAGCATGTTCAAATGTTTGGCATGACATGGGGATAAACAATATTTGCATTGTTCTTGACCGTACATTTACCAGATATAATAAATCCCAGTTGAGTCGTATCTATCCAAAAGGAACCCGAGTCGACTCATCCAACTTCATGCCTCAACTTTTTTGGAACGCTGGCTGTCAGCTGGTGGCTCTCAACTACCAAACAATAGGTAAGAGTCCTTTGACTTCTGATTGCCATCCAGATTGTTACTGTAACAGAAACTGAAGCACCACCGGCATCAGCTGAACCCTCCTTTCGGTCTGTTATTACATGTCCATTAAGTTCTTAGTATGAATGTCAACCTTTTATGCAATAGAGCAGTGATTCACAACCTTTTTGGCCTTAAATCAAAGCTAGGTCAATTTCCCTCAAGGTTCCAGGTTGTGACCAGTTCAACCACAGTGAGATTTTTCCTTCTCAAATTGATTTTGATTCAAAATTATTTTTTTTTCTGCCTTCCTATCTTGATAGCATCTCATGATCACCAGATTTATTTTATAATACATATTTAATTCTAAAAGTATATGTTCTGGCCAGTTGTTATAAATATTGTTACTCGTTTTCAGCTGTAAATACTACACTTCCCATGACTTAACCGTCATTGCAAACACTGCACCATAGTTGCTGAATTGACCTAAAATTAATCCACAACCTATTCAAGTAAATAAAGTAAGTAAACTGACTGAAGCTGAAAATATATTTAATGAATTCAAAGCTTCAAAAACTTCAAGCAGCCATTAGTGGCATATCAGTAGAATTCTGGTGACTGGATGTCCCTCGCTGCAGTGCGCTGTTTGACTCATGTCACATTTTGTACTTTGGATTCAATCAGGAGCGCTTTATCCGAGCCTTAGAAATCTGCAACGCCAGTCAGATGAAAGTGCCTTTGTCCTCTGGCACACTGGTCGTGCACTATTATTCCTCCTACGTTGCTACTCTTCAGTTGAAGGAGTGCAACAGCTCACCTCAAGCCTTTGTAGCCCTAAACACAACATTGGCTTTTTGTTTCAGATTTGTCCATGCAGCTGAATCTCTTCATGTTCGAGTACAACGGTCGGAGTGGCTACAGGCTGAAGCCTGAGTTCATGAGACGGCCAGACAAACACTTTGACCCCTTCACAGAAAACACAGTGGATGGCATCGTAGCCAACACCCTCTCTGTGAAGGTACAGTGGCAGAAGTTTACTTTTGTTAAAGCTATTTATGTTATTGTAGCTTCCTACAACTTACGCTTCAACTTCACAACTACAGAATGAGACGATCCTGCTGAGTCAGTCAAGCATCATTTTATATATAATGGAAACTGCCCCTACTGTAGTATATGTGTGTATTTATTCACATTTGTCTGTGTCTGTCTGTTTATATGGCTTTGTGTCGTAGGTGATTTCAGGCCAGTTTCTGACTGAGCGGCGGGTGGGTGTGTATGTGGAGGTGGAGATGTTTGGACTTCCTGCGGACACCAGGAGGAAAGCGCTGAAGACCAAAACCTCCCAGAACAACAACGCCATCAATCCAGTGTGGGACGAAGAGCCCATTGTCTTCAAAAAGGTGAGATGCAGCAGAGAGAAAGGAGGGAGTGATTCAGTCAGATCTAATCTTACCCTACCACTGTCTCATCTGCGTGACCTCTGTGACAGGTGATTCTTCCGACCCTGGCCTCTCTGAGAATCGCTGCTTTTGAGGAAGGAGGGAAGTTTATTGGTCATCGGATTATTCCAGTGTCTGCTATTAGACCAGGTAGTTATTTTAGTCACACGTATTCCAACCCCTTTATCCAGAACTTTCTATTAAGAAACGTTAAAGTGGATATATGTGAGTTGTTGGTTTTTGTTTTTGTTATATTTTGGTGCTAACTTATGCACTGCACCTCCCTGAGATCCAGTCAGTGTGCTGCCTTCATCTATTTATATCAGTAAAGTCTGAGTTTCACTCCTTTTTTACCTGCGTACCTTTCAGTTTTTATATTCCAAAATTGTGTTTTGCTGGTGTAAAATCAGAGCTATGCCAGAAAACTCACCAGATGAGGATTGTTTAAAACTGTCAAAACCTCCTGAACTGGAATTCTGATAAATTCCCATTGCCTTTACATGCAAATGACATTATTATGTTAATCCCAACTTGAAAGATTAAAACATGCATACTTATTTTAATGCCTGTGTAGACTCTAAATACGCACATTTATTTGTCACATTATTCAGAAACTTTCCCACTTACCTTACCTCCTGGTTCTCACTTTTTTTAAAAACCCATTTAGAACAGCAAGCAGAGACATGCTGCTCTTGGAAAAATGTCATTCAGCACTTTAAATGAAATTACTGGTAATTCTTTTACTTGTAATTTAGTCATGACTGATGTTTAGTGTGAACTCAACTGCATCTCTCTCTCTCTCTCTCTCTCTCTCTCTCTCTTTCTCTCTCTGTCAATGTTCTTGGAAGATTTCTACATTATTGTTCTCTCTAAATGTTCTTCCCAAACGATAGTAACATCAATGTTTCCTTTAGGTTATCGTTACATCGGCTTGAGGAATGAGAAAAACCAGTCTCTGATTCTACCAGCTGTGTTTGTCTATATTGTGGTCAAAGATTACGTCCCAGACACTTTTGCAGGTACATATTTCAAGTCAACCTTTCCCTTTCAACACAAAGTGTTGTAGAAAGGAATGACAAAGTTCAATGACTTCCATGATTTTTCTTCTCTTTTTTTTGCATTACAGACATAAAACAAAATAGAACAAAATTTATACATAAAACCTCCAGCAGATTTATATTCATGCAAGGATGATTGCTTTGTGACCTCTGACCTGTAGCACTACAGTGAAAACGTCCACTCGTTCACAAGAAATCCAAACATCAGATTCATGCTCCTCAGCTGTCTAGAGCCATTGGCACCACAAACATTCAACCATGCACAGAAGATAGACTTGTAACAAGTTTCCTGAGCACATTTATGTTCTCAGTAGAATATACCTTTTCTCTAGCATTAGATGTTTAAACACAATACAATACAAATGCTTTCATGTAATGTTGCAGCATCAAGGGAGACTTTATTTTACTTTCCATCTCTCAAACACATTTTCTACTGTACTACTCTATATCTGAGTAGCACATACAGAGACTTTAACTTTGTCTCTATAGACCCTCTGAAGCACAACTGTAGGCTCTGTATTTATCCACTTCCATATATATTTCCTCTCTAGATGTGATAGAGGCTTTGTCCAACCCTATTCGATATGTCAACCTCCTGGAGCAGAGGTCTAAACAGCTGGCGGCTCTGACACTGGACGACGTAGAGGAGGACACACAGACTGAGGTCAGCCATGTTTTTCTGTCTTGAAAGCAGAACATTACACATTGTTCTGAACGCTGTAATTCCTGTTGGTGTTTGCATTCAGGAGGAGGCAGACACTTGTGCAGAGCGTAAGAACGATCTGAAATCAGCTCCACTGGAGAATGGACTCAGCCCCGCCTCTGGCCCTGCAGGCCACACCCCCATCGCCACCACGCCCAAAGCCTCTGCGGCCAATCAGCAAGCAGCTACGACAGGTAGCTTCCACATACAAACAGAGATATGAGCATTCATTTAAAGAGTGTTTGACGTAAATCTTAAATGTTTTCATATTAATCACTTTAGAAATAGCTCTAGTGCTAACAGTACTGTGGTTATTGATGTTGATTGTGTCTTTTCTACATTTTAGATGCAGCCAAGCCAGCAGCAAAGAGTGAAGATCTGGTTTTAAGTGTTTTGATAGGTCAGTGTTTACATATTGCTTTCTAATCATTTGTAAAAGTCCTGGTATGCAATAAATCCTTATCATTATTATAATTACTTAAAACCAAATATATGTGTATATACTGTAGCCTGTAAGCCGATTAGACATAGATGTAGGTGTGTCTGCTTCTGAATGTGCTTGTGTTTGGTTTTCTTGAAGGTTAACTGGTAATGGTGATACAATCCATCTGTATTATCTAAAATACAAGGACTTTATTCTTTTCATAGCAGGACATGTTGGAAAGACTTGTTTAACCAAACATTTTGGTGATGATTGACTAAAAAGGTATTCATAATAACCCTTTCAGCATTAACAGAAGCAACAGGACAAAAAACACCAGAGATTTTTATTCAATTTTATGAGAGGTCTTTAAAAACTTTCTGTTTGATCACTTGCGGTAACAGATGTCCCAGTGTGCTCCATCGAGAATCTGCAGCAGTCCAAGGTTTACCAGAAGGACCAGAGACGTCAGTTCAAAGAGCTGAAGGAGTTAGTGAGGAGGCACCAGAAGAAAACCTCAGAGCTCCTCAGAGACTTCAACAACAAGTACAAGAAGATGGCCAGACAGTGTAGCAAGAGCAGGTATACACACATAAGGTGTAATTAGTGTATTTACCCCTCTCTCTTCTCATTGTATTACTTTAAAATTGAGTCAAGCTCATAACACTTTTTTGTTTAATATAAAGTGAGATATTTATTTAAATGTAAAAGGCTGCAGCTTATCAGAAGTCTAGACTTTGTCCTCTGTTTTTGTATAATGCACGTCTGTGTTCTTCAGGGGTTCATGTTCCGACAGTGAGAAAGACGAGCGCCTCCAGCAGCTGAGAGACGAGCAGCAGCAGCAGCTCCTGGCTCTGAGGCAGGAACAGTACTACAGTCAGAAATATCTACAGAGAGAACATATTAAAATGGTAAAGTCTGACAAAACCAAATGCTGCTGCTGCCTAACCTGACCTTAAGCCTAGTCAATGGCTCTAAAAATTGTCAATCTATATTTGGATGAACTCTTTTAAAGCTCCCTCTCTGTTGCAGACAATTTCTTTGACATGGGAAGTTCAAAATAAATAACAAAATAAGTTAATAAGTGTCACTGGATGATAGACATGACAATATAATTACATTACAAAAACAATTTCGATTCCAGTAAAAAGCTATGATTAGATTCTGTAAAATTAGGTCAAAACCAACGCTGCAGGTTCTGTAATAATTAGTTCTATGTATGATCCACAGACCCGATGTTATGTCATATGTTAACCCAGTATGCTTTGATTGTCTATGTACAATGTAACCTGTCTGTTTACTCCAGCTGACAGAGCGACTGAGCAGCCTGGCTGAGGAGAGTCACAATGCCCAGATGAAGAAACTCAAAGACATCTGTGAAAAGTAAGTTACAAGTCTGGGACTAAAGTGACATACATTAGGCTGTTAAATCTCTATGGGAAAATTCCATTGTTAAGAGCTACTTTCATAACGGCCGCAGCTTGAATAGCATTTTCCTCTGAGCCTTTCCAGGTAAACTGAATATTGTACTGTACTGTAAATGAAAAGTCAGATGCCATGGAACTGAACAAAGTAAAATTTTAAGAAATGGATTTAATGTATTATTATGTTTGAAAGTTGAACAGATGCTTTTTAATAGCCTAAGCATAAGATTATAAATAGAACTGACTTTGTTAAGGACAATCTTTGGATTTTAGAATTATTATAAAATGTATATGTGTCCTGAAATTGTTTAATATGATTCTTTATCTTTGATATTTTGGGGGGATTAGAACATCTAAGGGTCAGCCGGGAGGCATCTTTTGCCACTCTTTCTGTAATACTTTTGTGTTTTAAGATTACCAGGCGCCGATACAACCATTTTCAATACCAAATAGCACATGTTTAACCACTTTTTCCATTTTCAATGCTTTTCCTGCTGCTGCAGAGAGAAAAAAGAGCTGAAGAGGCAGATGGATCGAAGAAGAACAGAAAAGATCAACCAAGCAAAGACCAAAGAGAAACACCTGGCTGAAGAGTACGATCCATAAACACACAGACACACACCGATATTAATCCACTGCACCTCACTCCAGATAGCTGCTTCATGCACTGATCCAGCTAGTCTTGTCAGGAGAGAAAAATATTTTGCTCAAACTCAACCCATCTGACTGTGTGTTCCCAGGGAGAAGATTGAGATCAATAAGTCCTACGTCAATGAAGTCGTCCAGAACATAAAACGGGTGAGCGGAGGATGGAGAATCTGGGTTAAAGCAGCACAGGATTTTTTGATGGGTTTTTCTATAGACTGCTGAGACGATGATGAAAATTGTATGTCTCTATCTGTACACCATCTCTCTGTCTAGCTGTAGCTGTAGTCTCTCTGCAATCATAAAACGCTCCATAAGACTCTTTGACTGTCTGTTTTTCCGTCTCTAGCTTGAGGAGACTCAGACGAAGCGCCACGATCAGCTGGTGGAACAGCACAATGACCTCCTGCAGGAGATACAAGACCAGAAACCAAAGGTAAAAGACGAATGCAAATTGTCTTCCCAGCCTGCTCATCATTGCCTGTTTCTGAAGTTTCTTTATTTCTTGTCCTGCCTCAGTGAGATGCACCTCCTACTATTTTGCATACTTTCACGCCTGAATGCGCTACGCAGCAAGAAATGTTTTGTACACGGAGCTCCAAGCTGCTGCTGCTGTTTGTGGCTCCACACCCACACAGTGTAGAATCAGTACTGACGTCAACACGGGGCGTTTGAGTGATGTAACGTGCCCTCTGGCAGCCATATTGGAGCTGCTCAACTGTTGGCAGTAATGGCTGACAACAGCTGGTTGCATTTCTAAATGTACAACCCATCTGTCTACACAGTAGGAAATAAGCAAATTTCTGTGTTGTTTTTTTTACTGGGAACCGAGTGATCACCAATATATTTCACCGAGTATGTGTTTATATAATCTCAGTTTTTTTTGCAGCAGTAGCTAATCACGGCATCTGCTGAAGCCGTCAGCGGGCAATCAATCCGAAAGGAATCTATAATCAATACAAACCACCACTGTCTTGTCTTTCTCCAGCTGCAAGGGGCCGTGGAGGCGGATTTCCAAGAGAAGTTCCAGTGTTTGCCTGGTGAGATTGAAGATTTCCTGCAGGACAGGAAGCCAGAGGTTAGAGGTCACAGCAAGTCCCGACCATCGACGCCGCACGAAACTCTATCAGAGGAGGACTGAGGAGAAAGACGTGAGGAGGATGAAGAAGGAGAATCAAGAAAGTGCAACAGATCAAAACAAAATACAAGGAAGTAAGAAAGGCAAAAACAGCAGATGAAAGGGTAGTGAGGGAGCAAATGAAAGCAGAGGATATATATTATAAAGACTGTTACTTTTCTTTTTAATGGAAGAATGCTTTAATGATTTATTTTTGGATTCCATTCAAGCATGCACTTTGCTGTATTTCAGCGTTTAATCAGAACCCATTTAGTCTTATTTTCTGTCACCTGTTATTTTGACAGACAACTGAAACCCAACAGTTTGTACTGCATGACAAAACTCTATCTATCTATCTAATCTATCTATCTATCTATCCTATCTATCGTATCTATCATCTATCATATCTATCTATCTATTCTATCTATCTATCTATCTATCACTCTATCACTCTATCTATCTGACAGTTTGTGCTGTCTCTGTTTTATATGCTCATGGGGAGACATAGAGAATAGAATGGTACACAATCGCTACGAATCAAAAACTCCAGTGCGAATTAATGTAGATAGATAACTGCTGGCACCTCAGCTGGATTTTTTAAAGAATTTATTTATCATTATTAGCAATGCTGTATTTGTCACACTCACACACAGTTGCACACACACTCTCTCTCCTGCCCAGTACATCCGCAGTCTGCTTTACTGGAGTAGCTGGGGGTTAATGGCTTTGCTCAAGGGCACTTCAGTGGTGGTAATGAAGGAGTGGCATATGCTCCTCTCTTACTTTTCCCACGCAGTTTCATCCACATTTTACTAGTCTGACATTTAGAAAGTATAGTAGAATTAGAAATAATGTTGCATACTGTAATTAATAACAGGTTGATGTGCACAGCAGCACAAGATAACACAGGTACCGTAGTGTAATGTGAATACTGTATACTTTTCAGGATATAGGAAACACACACACACACACACACACACACACACACAGTGTTTTTCAATGATTTTTGTGATCATGGTTTTACGTTTACATCAATGCATCTAATGTCATTTAATATTTCAAGATCATATTATCAGGATATTTGGGTTTTTTTTGTACCTGATTGTTCATTTAGAATCAAAGACCTTAACAGGCATAATGAGCATGTTGGCACACTTGTTATGTGAAATGATTTTGAGTGAAAATATCAATGAATGAGTTTGATGTGATGGTGGAGGGTAGAGAAAGAGAACGGTCTGTACTTTTTAGTTAATGAGATTAATGCTATAGACTACCACTGGATCATTTATTACAACCTCAATAGTTTGATTATGCACTTATTTATTCATTTATTTATTTTGGGATAAAATGACTCTCAGTGTCTATTTCTGTTAAGATATTAAAGTTCTATATCATAGCATGACTGTTAGCCTATGACATTTAGAGGAGGGAGGACATTTGCACAGAAAGATAAGGGGATGAGAAAAAACAATCCTGCAAAATCACTTGTTTTTGATTTCTTTTAAAAAAAAAAACGATCAGACTTTTCTGACCAGTAGCGGCAACATCCCATCGTTTCCCTCCGACTGCTACACAAATGGTCTGACAGTTGGATGTCCTGCTAGATGTGGAAGAGCCTCAAAGTCTGCTGTCACTGCATGATTTTTTTGTTTTTGATGTGAAACTTGTTTTAACATAGTTATCATTCTGATGATCTATTTATTTATTGTTATTTTCACGATAATTAAGGATCAAGAGCATAAACTATTTCTAAAGCTGTTAACAATTGTTTCAGAGTGCAAAGTCGACCTTTTTGTAAAAATGTGAAGCGAATGGAGCTTGTCACTCTTTGTACAGTGATCTTCCAGAAAATATTTGTTGTAACATTTTCCATGTTTTGCTTTTCTTCTGGACTTATACAACTAAGGCTTTAGCTGTGTTCAACAACCTTTTTGCAGAGAACCGTGTCTTCAGATTTAAGCCACTGTTGATTGAGATCGAACAATCTTGGTCGAGGCCTGTGCCTGACCTCCTAAAGGTAGCTTACACTGCAATTTCGATGGCAATATTTTCGACTCAGCTGCTTACTCTGCGTGCTAACATTAAAGTACCTCACTATTCTGTCACCACTTAGGTCAAAATGATCTGTTAAAAACATGTTTTAAGTCTGCAAAGTGGCTGAGGTTCTCCAACAAAACACCTTGTTGAACGCACCCCTGCTTTAGTGATTAAACTGAGCATGCTTTATTGTCTTGGATTTCTCCGCCAGGTGAATTGTTTCTTGGTTTTACTGAATGCGATTTTAATTGAAAGACTATTAAAAAATATTTGATCTAAAAATGAAGCATTATCAGTTGATATTCCGAGTGCTACACAGTCCAACATCTCAGCTGTATTAACTTTTAGGATGCACTGATGAGGCGAATGAGAGGAGGTAATTGCTGTTGTCAGTCACATCGAGACAAACCCACTGCATTCGTGTCTGTACACAAAACCGTTGCTGTTGCTGTGATTTGGTGGATGAGCACGATAATGTGGGCTTTCACAGAGAGGCAGGGTGCTGTAGCTGTCGCGGGGGAGGAAGGTGGAGGAGGGTTTTCAAGCTGAGAGATGGTCTGTCAGTTTCTGCCTCTCAGTGTTACACTATGAACATTCAATGAATAGTTCTATGCATGTGTTCATTATATGTTGGCGTTTTAATTCTTGCTTATTGTGGGAGGCTTGTTTGTTTGTTTATGTATTTACCTTGGCAGTACAACTTTTACCTCACTTGCATAATGTGTTGTCTTTTCCTCATGTCATTTGCATTTTTCTAACAACATTTTTAACTTCAAATGGCCATCCAGTTGGTCTGTGTTAAGCTTGGTAAAGCCTTGCTCAAACCCACAGAACCTTTATTTATACTCAGAGATACCAAATATATCGAAGTCATTTCCATAAAAATGTGTTTACAATGATGCACAAGAACTCTACAGCCAATAGAAAATAGCATCTGGGATTTAAAGCTCCTCTAATCAATATTTTTCTTATATTAACAATGAACCACCATGTTTCTCCTACACACTACACGGAAGGCTGAGCAGCATTCAAATGTTTGCAATCTGCAACTTCACTGAATCCTACACACTGGTCCTTTAAGGCAGTGGTTTCCAACCTGGGGGCTGGGACCCCTACTGTGGGTCGCCAAAGCTTCATGGAGGGGGTCACAAGGCCTTCTTCATTTTAAGGGGTGTAAGAAAACTTAAATACACACAGCAGCCCAATATGTCAACATTTGATTCACTTCTGTGAAGAAAAGTAAATGTAATGTAAAGAAAATTAAGTAAATTATCTAATAGAACAATGGCCAAGCACCAGGGACAAGAAAACACTGAATATGTCAAAAAGGAGCCTCTTAAGTGTGTATGGTTGTTTAAAGATTATAGAAAATACACAACACAGACAGAGAATTGTATAAAAAGTCCCCTAAACAGGAAATAATTTGCTCAAGATTCATCCAATCTCTCGTTTAACACAATTTCCTGCAGTTAATAACAATTCACTGTTTGGGTTAATTGTACAGTTTTAAATATGAAATATCCCCAAATATGTCATTAGAGGTGATCAGTTTACTCAGTGATGACAAGGGGTCCCTTAAGGAAAAGGGTTAGGGACCACTGCTTTAAGTTGATAATATGTCTGAGAGCTGTGTTTCAGCTTGTTGTGGGGTTCTACTTCCCCCAAGTGGCCAGATGTCAATGAATGCACCTTATCAGCACGAAGCCTTGGAGAACATTAACATATGGCCGACTGTATTCGGTGTGAAGAGCGAAAGTGGTGGGATTTTTGAGAGATTTGAAGGTCAAACATTAAAGCTATAAATTGCTTTAAAACGGACAACTTTTGTAACTTTATATAGAAGAAATGTCTCCTTTTAAAACCAGCTCACGACGAGGTCTGTGACTAACCAGAGCAGTGTTTTTGGAAAGAGGTGCTGCTGTTAAATGTTTACTTTAGTTATTTATGAATGCCATGTGGAGCACGAACCAAATCAACCCCACTTCACCAGAGAGGGGGGTAAATCTAAGAGAGAACATCTCACAACCTGCAAACACAAAACAGCCTGCTGTATCTGCTTGGCTGGACACCACCAGGGGTAGGGGAGAACATGTTCTTGTTGCCTTTCCTATTCTTTCCAGCAGATGGTGGCAATACGCCGCAAATGACCTTTCTCTCCCGCCGTAGAAGAAGAGCTGCAGCCTCCTCAGCATCAGCACCAGCAGAGACGTCTCAATCCTTCCTCTCCTCTGCTCTGCTCTCTCCTCTCCTCTCTCCTCTCCACTGCGGAACATCGGCCTGTTTCCCTCCCATCGCTCCACCAGCGGCAGACCCAGCTCGCCATGGACAACACTGGGAAAGAGAAGGAGGCCATGCAGCTGATGGCTGAAGCCGACAAAAAGGTCAAAGCGTCCGGATCCTTCCTCGGAGGGATGTTCGGGTAAAGGGTTGCGCTCGTTTCTCTTCTCTCTGTCTGTTTACCTCTCATTTTGGTATGGGGGGGATTCCTGCACGCAGGGCCCACCGAAGGCTGCCAAGTGTTTCTGCTTTCCTTGACGGAGAAATCGCTTTAATATGCTTATAATGTTTCTTAAATAGCACTATTGCGTTGATCTGGTGCCCGATAATGAGCTAATGAGGCCTGATCAACCCCTGTATTGCTCTATTTGATGTTTTATAGACTGTTCCTATAATCGATTCTATGCATCCTCATAGGAGCTGACAGGAACTTCCACTATGACACTGCGTCCTTCTCAAAGATCTGTCCAGGGATTGGCATAGCGCCTATTTTCACCCGCTATAGGCTCAAAATGTGAGCTGTCATCGCAGATAATGTGGCCTGCGTGTCGTGGCCTGTCACGCAAGAGAAATGTAAATGTGGCAAATCGCCTGCTGCTGCTGCTGCTGCGGGAGAGGGAGAGCGGGCTCGCACTGAGCGTGAGGCCGGGCAGGAGGTGCGAGGAGGCGGGGAGAGCAGCGCAGCCAGGACGGTGTGCGAAGAATCAGCCGGTGGAGATGTGATGATGATGCAGGGGCTGAATTTAATTTAATTTAATTTTATTTTTTATGGTGTGTGTGTGTGTGTGTGTGTGTTTGTGGGAGTGGGCCTTTATGTGTGGGAGGGGCGGATGTTTACAAGTAAAATGGAAACCCTGAAATATAAATTTGATGTGATGTAACATAGATAGATAGATAGATAGATAGATAGATAGATAGATAGATTAACTGGCTTTTTGATAAATTGACTGGCTGACTAAGACTGTTGATATATTGAGTGCTTATTCTGAAGTGGTCATTTTGAGCCAGCAGCTATGCTCTGTCATTGTGCTGAGTCAACTAGTAGGCCTAATACTTTATATTTGATGTTTTAAATGTTGTATTTAGATAAATTTTAGGTACATTTAAAGGAATACATATTCACACAAAATACAGATTACTCGATCTCAGGAAATGAATTGGTGATACATCTTTTTTTTAATGTGTTGCTTTTCTTTGTCTAATGATGAAACTGAATAATATTGGGTTTTGTTCATGAGGAAAGGCAAGGTAGGGGGCTTTAGGAGCTAATTTTTTAACAGACATTGTTTAATAACAATTAATTGAGAGAATAATCGGCAGTTTAATCGATGACGGAAGTAGGCCTAGTTGTCAGCTGCAGCCTTAATTCAGTTTGTATAATCCATAAAATCATGGAAAATTACAGTGTTCCATTCTTATAGACCTAAAGCATACATACAAAACAATATAAATAACCACAATTAAACATAAGAATCACCTTTTCTACATTTTTTACTATAAAGTCAGCGTTATAGATAAATAACATGATAATATCTTCTGTAATCAGGCCTCAAACCTGAGAACTGAAATGGGTCAAATATGTTTACCCCACATGGGTACCAGCATGTTTTTTTAATGAGCCTCAGCCCCGAGTTAAGAGATGAAGCAAACTCAGCTGGGGTCACTCGGTGGTTTTGGCAGGTCATGGCAATCCACCGTATTTCAATGGTAATTTAGTGGACATGCATGATATGGAAATGTGTGCAGATAATTAAGCGATGATGAAACTTTTCATTTCATTGGTAGAAACTAGGAATGTACTTTTCATACTGTGACTGTGCATGATGCAAGAACACTATACTGTGATCTGTGATCTCCATAGGATGTGAGCACAAAATCATTTAACACAAATGTGGATTGATTATTATATAACAAATGTTCATTAAAAACTGCATGCAGGATCTTCATTGTTGGCTTAACAAACGCGTTTTAATATCTTTGTTGTTACATGAATGCTATCCACTTTATCAAATACATGCAGAGCTGCAAAGCCAGAGTCCTGCCCCGTGGAGAGTGATGTAAACACTATGTGAACTAGTTCTTGCTGCAGTCACATAGCCACAAATCAGATATACAGTCAAACTTGAGTCAAATATGAAACTAAAATCCATTAGATTTTTATTCCTGTTGTTACTGCATTAAAAAAAACAGATTCATTCCTCACAGGAGGGTAACTAGATTTCAGAGAGTTTTAGCTGCAGGGTGAACGTATCCTCAGCTGCCCTCCATGACGTCCTTCAGCTGGACAACCCTGCATGTTAGTTTAAAATATTCTTTTATATTGGAGGACAAAGGCAGAGTGAAAATTAAGTGTTTTTTCTATCTATAAAAATACATCACAAATGAATGGCCTCAAGGAAGAAAAAAGAAGAAAAGCAAATGATTAATTTGGTTTCTTTTTGCCTTTTTTTTTTGTGTGTGTGTGTGTTACAGGGGAAACCATAAGGTGGAGGATGCCTGTGAAATGTACGCCAGAGCAGCCAACATGTTTAAGATGGCAAAGAACTGGAGTGGTAGGTGACACAAACAAACAAACATATATATATATATATATATACAAACTCCTACACAAACACCCACAAACAGACACACACACATTTATTTGAATGTTGTTTTTTCCACAATTTATCAGGATATGATGATGATTCAACAGCCTGCAATGAGTATTATACTACCACATACAGCAATGAGAGGTTTAAACATACTGTATACACGCACTGGATTGAAATTTCAGGGACAAATAAGTGAGACATTCATGGCTGCAGAAAGCAGCGTGTGCTCTAGATGTGCCAATAATAGCTCAAGCTGAGCAGAACTTAGCTGTTTAGATGTGTGTTTTGATGCGTCTGCTGCCTGATGAAGACTAAATCGTGAACACTGTCCCGTACTCACCGTACAGTGAGAGTAAAAAATGAGTGTTTGGTCAAAGACAGGTTTAGTGCAACTAGAAACTGACTTTGGATTACATTTGCATTTATTTAAGCTTGTCCCAATCAAACTGTGAATCTGTGTGTGTGTGTGTGTGTGTGTGTGTGTAGCTGCAGGGAATGCATTCTGCCAGGCCGCTCGGCTCCACATGCAGCTGCAGAACAAACTGGACTCTGCCACCAGCTTCGTCGACGCCGGCAACGCCTACAAGAAGGCCGACCCGCAGGGTGAGAACTGCTGTCTTACACACACACGTACAAACACACACATTGCTGAGTCAGTTATCCAGTATCTACTCCAGTGCAGATCTGTTCTGTCGCAGTTACGCCTACAAACTTAAATGTCACAAAGATGGCCATTGGTACTGATAAACATGTTTATCACTTTTGTTACATCCGGCATTCATGTTTGGCTGAAAGCATAAGATGCAAGTGGATACACAGATAATTGGGCTTATTATCATTTGAATTTGGACATCACTTATCTCATCAGACCGAGTTGTTGGACTATGTGAGTTCCAGTCTTGGCAGGTTGCAATCAGGAGATCAACTCACAGATTCATTTCAGAGAACAGTGTTAGAACAGTGTGTGTATGTGTTGTTTAGGGACTTTATTTGTTTGCCTTCCAATCTAGTTACTATTAGTGGATGAACCAGGTTCGCCTACAGCACCTCCTGCTCTCTCTGCAGAGTTTACCATCACATCTATCCATTCACCATTTCACCCAAATTTGCCTTCTTTCTTCAGTATCTTCATCCTTTTCTCATAAATTGTAACATAAAGAAGCAAGGGTTATCGTTTATTGATGGGTGTCCATCTGCACTGCTACAGGCGCATGCAAGAGTTTGTGGTCTCGCTGGATTTAAAGATCTGCACAACCCTGACTGTGGTCTACCCATCATGCATTGTGCTGTCCTCCTTTTGTATTTACTAAGCTAGCTACTGAGACTAAAAACATATGTTGGCAGAAATCAGTCTTTGTCTAGTCTTTGCAAGTTTCAATGGTCTTCAGATCTGTTCCCAACTTTAGTGACACTTAAAGCTGGATGTGAGATTATTTTTACTTGAAAATCCACTTGTGTGGACCTGGAAACCTCGTTCTTTGGCCGTCCTTGTTTTCCATGTTCTACATAGTTTTATTGTTTAGGAATATGACAGGTTTGAAGTCCAGAGTCTTGGATTATTGTGGCAGGAAAGTGTGGAGTGTGCATGATACATGTAATTTTATATCACAATATCAATATATATAGACTATATTCAATATATAGTGATATGATAAATTACCTGGATGAAGAATCTGACAAAACAATTCATTACATTGATGCAAATATTAAATAAAGCCCAACATGCCATAAAGACATTAAACACAATATTAACGGTATGCAAGAATCTGACAGTTAACAGATTTACAGATTGCTTCACAATTGATGTATTTATTTATTTAATAAAACATTACATCCTAAAGCGAGGAGCACAATTCCCTGATCAACTATGTTGTACTCAGCTGTGGCGGTTGCTGCTTTGCCGTCTATCCTCAGCTCTGGGAGGCATTTGGACACACATTTGTGTGACATTGTTGATTTTCTTGGACCCGGTTGTTTCCAAGATGTTACCAAGCAGTGGCAACACAGCATCTCAAAACATGCATTCAGTGATATCACGCATGCTAGGACTCTGATTTGCCCATAGGTGTGAGTGTGAGTGTCAGAGGTTCCTGCAAAGGATAAGTGGTTATAGATAATGGATGGATGGGTAAAGAGGGAATTTCTTGAGCATTGGTGGAAATAGTAACAGTTAGAGTACATATACTCAAGCACTATGCTTAGACGTCCAGTGTGTAACATTCAGGAGGATCTATTGGCAGAAATAGGATACAGTATTCATAAATATGTTTTCATTTATGTATAATCACCTGAAAATGAGAATTGTTGTGTTTTTATTACCTTAGAATGTTTTTATATAGAGCTAAGAATAGAGATTGTATCTACAGGAAGGGAGCGGGTATCTTCCATGTTGACCCCATGTTTTCTTTACAGGTAGCCCAGAATGGACAAACCAAACACTAGCTCTAGTTAGGGCCTTCTGCGTTTTTTGTGAGTGTCGTGGCCATCGTAGAAAGGCACTAGGAAGGCTGAACAGTATTCAAAAGGGTGATCTGCTTCTTCACCACATGATGCCACACTGGTCTTTTAAGTACAGTTTTGAGGTGCTTGTATTTTATTGAAGTATTTCCATTTTCTGCTACTTTATACTTTTACTCCACTACATTTCAGGGCAGATATTGTACTTTTTACTACATTTATTTGATAACTTTAGTCACTTTGTGAATTGAGATTGATAATACAAAAATATAAGAAATCAATTACGATATATTACTATAGATTAAGACAATACATTATTGATCCCCAGTGGGAAATGTACACACTACCCAGCAGTATATAAAGTAATTCATATGTGCCCTCTAATGCATCACTAGTTATAACATATTATTCTTAAATGGGCCATTCTGTATAATGATTAGCCTACTTTTACTTTTGGTACTTGAAATATATTCTGATGCTAATGCTTCTGGTTTTGAATGCAAGACTTTAACTTGTTACAGAGTATTTCTACACTGTGGTATTGCTACTTTTAATTGAGTAAGAGATCGGAATATATCTTCCACCGCCTTTTCTTTATAATTATGACACAGGCACGCCACACTTGGCCAAAGGGGAAGCCTCTGTATCCCTTCGCAGTGAGAGTCAGGACCCTGAGGTGGTATTGTTGGAAGATTAAAACGGGTCCCTGACTTGCTCTAGGAAAATTGATATCTGGGTTATGCTGCAGCAGCCCTCCTGTGCTGAGCTTAATAAAATATTGTGGGTTAGCAGGTTAGTAGTCACAGGGGGAGGAAACTGCAAGAGTTTTAATTTGACAGAGTAGACTCAAAGGGCTTCAGCAGACTCTTTTTCTCTTCAGTTTCCTTGTATTCATAACATCACTCCTTACCTTCTTATCTGTCTGCTTCCAGAGGCCATCAACTGTCTAAATCAGGCCATTGATATCTACACTGACATGGTAAGCTCTGCCTCAACCGTTGAACTGCTTCCTGTTACAGCCATTCTTATCTTTGAATAATACCCTGTATGTGTGTTTGTTGGTTGCAGGGTCGGTTTACCATCGCAGCCAAACATCACATCACTATAGCCGAGGTTTATGAGTCTGAGCTGGTTGATATTGAGAAGGTATGTGACCCAGCCTTTGTGATTTTATGTTTTTGTTTAGTATACATTGCACATGAAATCATTTTATTTTAATATAAATTATGATCTTCTGATGACTTGCATATCTTGTTGCTTGTCTTTTTGTTTTCAGGCCATTGCCCACTATGAGCAGGCAGCTGACTACTACAAGGGAGAAGAATCTAACAGGTATATGTGTTTGAATTTGCAGTGAAAGCTAAACTAACACATACAAAATACACATATATATGAATAAAGCTGGAAATGATTTGTCCAATAATTGATCATTTAAATCTACTTTTAAGCAAAAATGCCAAACATTTGATCCACACATTTTCTGCCTTTCCTTTTCTTACATTACAGAAATGAGAATATCCTTAGCTTTTGGACTGTTGTGTTTTTTTTAGGTTTTTGAACATAATTGGCAAATTGAAATATAATCATTACATGACAATATATATATTGTGCATGTATATACTTTCACTGTGTATCCTACATAGCACTAAAGGGCAGCGAGTCACACTAAAAAAGGCAACAATATGATGAGGTGGTCACCTCCACTCCCACAAATGTATAATAGCAAAGCCTGGTGGCCTTTACAGTACAGTGACACATCATGCATCATCTAAAACGGGCTCCTGTGTGAAAGTTCTGCATGGCAAATGTTTCTCTTGGCGGAGACAGTAATTACACAAATATTATCCGTGAACTTGTGGATCTCTTTGTTTGTGTGCGTTTCAGCTCAGCCAACAAATGTCTTCTGAAGGTCGGACACTACAGCGCTCAGCTGGAGCAGTACCCGAAAGCTATTGAAATCTATGAACAGGTAACAGCTAATTACAGGATAATCACCATATCTCTATATGGTAATGAAGAGAATCTCCCTTTAATAAATACTTAATTTTAATAATTTTTTAATGAATGTCGGTAGAACATCTGACCACATGCTGCCTTAAGAGTCAGTAATTATGTGTGTTTCTGCTTTTGTGTGTGTGTGTGTGTGTGTTTCAGGTTGCTATGAACACCATGGACAACCCCCTGCTGAAGTACAATGCTAAAGAGTATTTCTTCAAGGCTTCACTGTGTCACTTCATAGTGGACGAACTGAACGCCAAGGTAATACACACACACTGCACTATCAGACAGACACTTACACACTGTTACACACACATGGATGCGGTGTAGTAGTTTTAAATATTTTATAAATACAGTATGTGTCTGTTTCAGTTGGCCATAGAGAAATACGAGGAGATGTTTCCAGCCTTCTCAGACTCCAGAGAGCTCAAACTGTTAAAGGTAAAATGTCTTCTGTTCAAACATTTTGTAAAAGTAAACATGTTCAAGTTAACGCTTCAATGTATTAAACAGGGTTTCTTAATTAGTCCAGTATTCATTAAACTATGAATCATATTCCCACATAACCTTATGAGTGTGCATAAATATTGTATCAAAGGTCATGTGTCCTGTTATCAGCCCACGATCTTAAAAGTTTTAATTATCAGTTATATTAATTAAGTAATGTCTTCTACAATTGTGTTGCTTGATTTGAAATAATAAGCCGTCGCTTTTAATTAAACATATGAGCACTTCCATGGCAAAATGGGAGATAATTTGCATAAACATGTCTGAGTCCATGAGGGTTTACTGATGCTCACTAATCCTTAGTGTTAATAAAGTTCTGTGTTTTGTTGCCACAGAAACTCCTAGAAGCCCACGAGGAGCAGAACAGCGAGGCGTTCACGGAGGCAGTTAAGGATTTCGACTCAGTGTCTCGTCTGGACCAGTGGCTGACCACGATGCTGCTCCGCATCAAAAAGACCATCCAGGGAGACGCTGGGGACCTGAAATAGACAAATGTAGTGATAGGGGAGAAAGGGGGAGGGGGACAGGGGGAGACGGGATGGTAAAGACAGAGGAAAGGTTATAGTAGAGGGGATTGAAGTGGATGGAAATGAAATGAGGGGAGTGGAGAATGTGTTTTGGTGGACAAAAGAAGATAGACACAGACGCAGGAAGATGAAAGGGGGGGTATAAGGGAGGGAGGGTGGGACTGAGGGAGTTTACAGTTGTACATATCAGTCTGCATGTGACCCCCAACTAGCTAAGCATCACCTTTGAACCACCTTTAGCTGACCCTGTGTCCCTGGTCCTACAGTATTGCTCTCGTAACACTGGACTGAATTGTACTTAAAGAGAAAGAGTGAAAATAAAAGGTGTGTGTGAGAGAGTATGTGTGAGAGTGTGTGTGTGTGTGTTCACTGCAGTAAGGTAAATCATAATATTTAATGGGAAAGTGTGCAGCTCATGTCAGATTTAAGGGTATATGTTATTGAAAAGGGATAATAATGTTATTTATGAGATTATTAATATTTATTGTCAATACAGAAAATATTATTTATTGTTTATTATGGTGCTCAGTGTTACGATTTGTCTTAATATTTTAGGTATTAGCCCCTCTCCTCTTCTCTTTTATTCTCCTTCGCTTTCTCTCCCCATCTGCTCCTCCTCCTCTGTCTCCCCTCGTCCACTCCTCACCCCTAGTCAAGTCAGTAATATCACCCATTGTGATTGGTCGGTTCTTTGTGTTCTGGCCAACGGTTGGTCGGTGGAGTCAGCCACCAGTGCTTACTCCCGTCTCTGCCTTGTTTGTGCATGTCTGTTGTCATGTTGATGTAAGTGTTCTCCGTGTTGTGCTAATGTGTGAAGAACATACATGTAGCCTGGTATCATTTGTGTGAAATCAGTAATTATGTACCTCAGATGCCGAGTTGAAATAAAAACATCATCGCTCCAGATATGTGTTTTTGGTGTATTTTCAGTGTGGCTGCACCTTGCTTTAAGTATTTACAGCACTGACTGGTTGTAAAGCCAAGGTCACATCCTGACTGTAGCACTGAATGCACTTTGCTTAATGCAACAACTAGTAGGCCATGATGTCATGCTGCAGCAATGGCAACACAAATCTGGACCAAAATCAGTGCTTGATTTTTGCACAAAACATTTAGAGCTTGTTTTATCCCTTAAAACACACTTTGTATATGCCATTTAAGGGTGTTTTAGTTTATATAGATTGGGATTTTGGGCATACCTTTGCACCAAAAACAGTTGAAAACAAGGCTAGAAGCAACTCTGAACTGTAAAATCATGATACAATAATGTGATTGCATTAAAAAGGCCGTGTCTGTTGTTGACTCTAAGCTTGTCACCCTGGAGGAGGT